TGCTAACATTTTTAACGAGAAAACTGAAAAAATAATTTTATTTATATGGAAAGTAGAGAATAGAAGAATGGTTAGTTGTGAATATATTACAGAGATTCATTATATGCTAAATAAACATTCAAAATTTGAAGAAGAAATTTTGGGTTTAATTGATCAATTTAAAAATTAAAAATCTGTACAATTTTCATGGATGTTTCTGATTATTTCAAACGTAAGAGGCGAATTCTGTAAATATAAGAAATGTAAGAACTGGAATGCAAACTTGTGAGAAAAGTGTATTCTTTGTTCCAGCAATTTCGGGATCGGTTTTGGCAAGCAAAATATACCTTTTTCATCCTTAATCTCATGAGTCATGACCAGGAAACCTAATCACCTTCACTCCCTTTTTATTTCGCGAGGTTTAGGTGAGTTTTAGTTGAGTTTTTAATTTATTTAAGGGATGAAGTTTCTAAGTGGTTGTTCGTATATTCAATGGCTTAATATGCCTTTTCTCTCTCGTTCAATGAACGTTAAAAAAATAAAATTATTCGGAACTTGTGTTTGAGAAAGATCCAGTAAGAGCATTTTAGTGTCATCATGGGCATGGATAAATGTGAGTGCTGGTAGGGTGTTGTACAGCAGTCATGTACAACACCTTATTCGCATTCTTTTTCATCCTCGCCTTAATTAGTATTCATGCTCGAAAAAATGAAACGGTGTATCATGAGCACGAGTAAAGTATTTTCTTTTCACTGTACAGTGACACTTCTTTTAGACATTGGTGTTTGCTATATTCCATAGTGAATCATCGTGACTTTATAAAACACATGGTCATTATACATTTCCACAAACGTAATTTTTTTTTTAAAAAAAGTGAAGAAACTTGTGATATATATATATATTTGCATAGCACATGTTGATCTTTTTCAGTTCTTTTTTCCTTCTTCTGAAAATCAAGCCTAGATATCTTCTTATGGACGTCCTTGTAATATGTCTTTCGATCACTGCTTAAAACATGTCCATTGCTAGTCTGATTACTGAAATTTGTTCATCTTAAAGTCACCTTGGAAACCTTCTTCAAATCGCATTGCCAAATTGGAGATTTCACTTCTTGTTCTTTTTGGCTTGATTCATGCATTACTCTATAATATAGGGTATCCTATCTGATATCTATGGCCAAAATGGCTTGTTGTCCGCTAAAATAGCATGATTGTAATAAAAAGTGAATTGATATACTATTTTAGCGGATATAAATTTCAGTTTGGAGTTTAATTGTTCAGTTTTTTTTTTCTTGTTTGGTCACAGAGTTTAATTGATCAGTTTAAACGTTCAGAATCTATCTAATTTTCGGGCGTTTCAGATAAATTTGAAAGTCAAAGGCGAATCCCTGTAAATAGTAACAAATGCAAGGACTGAAGTGCAAACAGGTAGTGTGTTCTCTCTTCCAGCATTAATCGGTTAGAAAGCAAAATATGTAAGCGTTTTTTTATCCCCAGTCTCATGTACTTATATGGGTTTTAAGCCTCTAACCTAATCGCAACATTCCAGGCATTAGTGATGGAGAAAATAAGTCAGTTCTATAAGATGTTTGTTGTTCCAACTCCCAATCCGATGGCCCATGCACCAGGATTTCTGTGCTGGCGCACGTGCCATTGGTTGGGAGTTGTGTCAACAAAATTCTTACAAAACTAGACTGCCAACGACTGACAGATAGAGATTCGTCTTCACCTTGTGGACCTGCTTCAAGATTCATACATGTCTTAGGGGGAGGTTTTGAAAGCAGTAACAAACACGGGGGTCCTCTGGTTTTCATCACCAATTTGGACGTTTTAGTTGTGAATATTTTTACAAAGATTCATCTTTAGTTTATGATGAATAAAAGAAGATAAAATGTAAGATTGTTCTCATACTATTTCTCCAATGGAAAGGAAAAAAACGTTATTTATCCATTGGTTAAAATTTACCAACATTTTGAATGAACAACTGAACAAAGATAATTCAGAGTAGCTTTCCTTCTTCTTTCCCGTAAATTCGCTGAAGTTCCCGTGTTGCAGCTAAATAAGATTCTGAAGATGCATATGTTACCACACAAAAATTAGTATTGCTCTATTTTAATGTAACTGAGTCAATTGTCAAAATAGCATTTACTTACGCACCTTTCCACATACGGAAAGACTTTTGGTTGATAGACGACCCAGTCATGGTTGGGATAACACTGAACAACATATCTTGTGGTGTGTTTCTGAGCTCTTGAACTATCCCATAGATGGTTTTACCATTCTCAAAGTATATATGATTATTGGGATGCTTAGTCTTGCAACCAGCGTGCCGTTCAAATTCATATGCATTGACCACCTAGAGAAAATGTTTATGTTAAGAGGCAGTGTGGTCCATTCGTAATCTGCAGAGCTCAATATTAAGCAGCTTACCTTAGAGGAATTGCATGAGTTGCATCCACATTGATATCCAGAACCCTTGATAACACCATGAAGCTCCTTCTGAAAACAGAGGAAAAAATGCAAGAATTATAACCAATGCTCCTGAATGCAATCTTTTGGAAATAGAGCGCAAGTGAATAAGCTTACCTCGCGTGACCAAGAAATATATTTTACTGGAACTCCATCGAGCATACCGGTAGATAGCAAACTCCTTACATTAGAAGGAAAACTATTGCTCTGAACTTTCTTTGATACTTTTGTTTCTTCTTTCTTCGCGGAAACATCAATACTAGAGAAGGTACCATCGCTACCAAGCGCGTTGGTTCTAGATCCAACCAAATCTTTGCTAATCGGAGTTTCAGATAGTTGAGGTGTGGATTTAGACATCAAGAATTCATAGCTGGATATGATCCTTCCAGAGTTATTAGCATCATCATCATCATTCGAACCACCAAAAGATATGAGTGTACTCTGTCCCTTGCTACAAGAGTCTTGCACGGCGTTACTATTACTGTTATACACATTATCTCTACATACAGAAGTGCTCTCTTTGTGAAAGATGCTACCCTTTGATGCAGCACTCTCGTCAACATGGTTATTATATGTTTGACCCATGGATATTAAATTACTGTCAATCTTGTCGAAAGCAAGATCAGAAGCGAAACTGTTACTATCATTATAGGGAGCCAACGCTATATTTTCATCACGATTACTATATTGCTGACCCATCGAAATAAAGACACCATTCTCCCTCTCATAACTTTCGGCGATACTATTCTCTTCTTCCTTACCAAATGCAAGACTCATGCACATGGAATTCTGATCAAGCCTATAAACATTACTTGTTGACATAGATCGGTTGCCCGTCCTGACATGGTTCTGTGCGTTTGTAGATGACACAAGACTGTCGGAATCCTTCACTTGGCTAACTTTCAATTTTCTGATCCCACCATAACTAACCGCTGATCGAGGTTCCTCAAGTGTATGAGACATTGATAAAGCAAAGGATTGATCACTGTAAGGTTCCTCAATCCCACTCCTTCCTAGAATGACCTTCTCAGTGTTAACCGAATGCACGGTTTTATCATGAATATCGACTGCCCTGGTAGATTCGGTGTCGAATAAACGTTCAGTAAACTGACCAGGAATAGACTGAAAACCGAACGTGTTTCCCCAGGCAGGTACATTCGAGTTAATCACTCCAGAAAACAAGTTGCTGGTAGGAATCTCCTGCATAAGTTTTTTGTTTGGAAGTATACTATCTGCCTCGACGCCATCCAAAAGCTGATGAGAACGCTTAGAAGCATTTTCATAAACCGTATCGCCGCCATTCGTGGTAAGAATCCCAGAACTCTTAGTCATCCAAAGACTTTGATTCGGAAAGGCCTGCAACACAGATAGAAGAAATATCCTATCAATTCTTTCAAGACAAAGTAGCTTGATCAAACGAACACAGAAACCAAATAAAATCAGAGAAATTTCATAAAGCTTTGATACACACATGGTTCAATGGCCAAATCATAAAGCTTTGTCCAAGAAAAAAAGTGATTTTTTTTCCACTCATATGATTTATTTGAAGTAGTAAAGTTTCTGTACCCACGAAAAAAAAAAATCGAAATTTGATAACCAAAAGCCATACCATGTTGCTTGATACTTGTCCCAAGTTTCTTCTTCGAATGGTACCTCAAGAGCCTGTCCTTGAAGCAGCAATGCAGAACTGAAATTGGAGTATAATCAAAACCAAATAACTATCGTTAGCTCCATTCGAGAAGCTTCACATTTCCCATAGAGAAAAGTCACAAATATCAGAAGCTTGTTGTCGCGAACGATCGGAATTATCGCCGGTGAAGTGTGACGACCACTGCGATTTTAATTTTAAATTAAATAGAAAAATTGTTTTCGATGCGTCGTCTCGGAATAATAACTTTTTGACTTTTTTTTTTCTTTCTTTGACTGCTCAGCACGACGATTGGAAATGCTAGAGAGATAAGCTCGAACGATTTGGGCTTTCATGTTTAGGCCCATCTTGAAGTTTCTCAACTTTGTAAATTTATCTATTTTTAATTGAAAAACAAATGTACTTATATTTTTCTTTTTTTATGTAATTAGATTTGGGATTAATATATATCTTATATAATACTAGGTAAACAACCCGCATATATGCGGATTTATGGTAAAAAATATTTTGCAACCCGTGAAAAATCAAATACGAAAAAATACAGAAAAATTAAATCACTCATGAAAGTAAATAAAATCGAAAATCTTGATATTAAATAAATTTAACACTTATTTTTTTATTTTGATTTTTTTGCCTAACCTAATTTCTAATTAAATTTGATACTTCTTTTTAAAATAATTATTTTCTTTCTATTCATGTTTGCAGTAATTTAATTTTTACTATTTTGCAACTCAATTTTTTTTCAAAAATCTTGTTGAATTACTTTATTATAGTCTTATTTGAATTTTTTAATTTTATAACATATGAAAAACACAAAACATGAAAGGTAAAAAACCACTAATAGAAATGCCACACCATTATTAAATTGTTTTGACTCTTTTTATTATATTATTTTCTTTTGAATTAATTTTTTTACATATTTCCAAATAATTAGTTTCTTCTATTCCTTATTGAATTAGGTTTATTTTATTATCATATATTTATTTTTCCAAAACTTTAACGAATTGAATATCATATTTTTAGTTGCAAAATAAAATTGTAAATTTCAATAAGATTTCTTTCACAAACTGATTCCCAAATTTTTTAAGAATCTAAATCATCTAGTGATGCAAAAAGCTAATTATCATGTTAATTATCATGTTTGACGTATCAAATTTTATATAATAAGATAGTAAGATTTCTCAAAGTTGAAATGATGAGAGACTGTCATGTGTCACATTCTTTTGATATTTGTTTTTCAATTTATTTATTGAAAAAGAAAAAAAAATTATGTGTTATTTCTTTCATAATTTTGACAATTAATTCCGACAATTTAATGGATAATTTCTAATGTAAATTAATTTCAAGAAGTTACAATTCAATGTCTTGTGTACATTTATGTAATTCTTATAATATATTATATAAAAAATGTTTAATACTTTGGCTTTTATATAGGTAACGTGATCTTAAATTAAAAAATCACAAAGAGAAGTTTTAATAAAGTGAAGTATAACATGAAAAAAATGATGTGAGACATTTAAAGAATGATTTTAGAACTTTTAAGGATGTTAAAACACCAACGTCTCATTGGGAAAATTTTGACTTTTAACGTTTTTAAATGTTTTCATAGCTTTCAAAACCAATTTACTTATCACCCTCTAATGCAATTAAAATAATTTGTGTTAGACAAAGTAACGTTCCTAATCAAGACTCTCGAAATAAAACCTTACTCCATCATAAATTGTAAATCCAGAAAACAGAATCACATCACCAAGAAAAAGATGTGAAAGATAAAAATCACAATCAACAAATAAAGTGAGACACAAATACAATTAATCATCAATTATTCTCTTATTCTGATTCAAGGTTCTAATGAAATCAACAGAAATATGCATTCTAACACCTTTAGTGTGATGATGCAGATGTCTCGGTAGAAACAAAATATAGTATAACTTGTTTGATTAATAGATTTTTACAAACGTATTTGATGCAAAAAAATGAGCAATCATTTTTTTAGAAACCGTAGTGAATATTGATAAAGACATATAAGTTAAGGATTTGTACCAAATAATATGTTTTTCATATGATGTAACGGATTTTTTTATATAACGTTATATATGTACAACAATATGTACACGTGGACAATCCCTAGTATTTCTATATTTTAAAGATTATTATTTTTGCCCATTCACGTGACTCATATGGAATGCACTTCACGCCGAAGCAGGTGATTCACGAGAGTCTAATTGATCACATTAATTAATATAAGAACATTGCATATTCACATTGATCTCATTAAGAGAACCGTATTTTACTCTCTTTCTTATTTTTTAATTTTTTTAAAAAAAATTATTAAAAAGAAATTTATAACATGTTTATTGGTGATACCATGTGGATATCACCAATATTAATTTAGTATTAAATTTAATAGTTTTTTAATCGTTGACACTTATTAAGGATTTTATAATTTTTGTATGTTTAATGGTGATACTCAATGAGATTCTAAAAAA